TTATGAAGGAATAGATGATGCACACTGGAAGGAAAATGGAACTTTAGTTCTTGTAACCACAATATCAGGTAGGTTTCAGATGCTTTGGGTAATGCTAATTTAAAATATAGAGCCAGCCTTGTCTTATGTAAAGCGGTATCTTTTATGTTTGTAGGTTATTTACAATGTTAGTCACCCGTGTTAATTTCAAACTGAAATACTGTCTCTGCACTGTATACAAAAAGTGGTCTGAGGCTGCTGGCTTTTGAACAAAATACCCTGAAGAGTTGTTAAATGAGAGTCATTTGGTGTTGCTGTACAAAAACATTGAGTCTCTTGAGTGTAAAAATAGAAAACAGCTTGTACAGAACCTTTATGGACTTGTTCACATGATTTCACCAAAACAAAACCTTCTATTGTGAAGTGACAGATGACTGCTGAGACAGAAAAACTGGTGGAAATGTGTAAATTACTGGGCAAACAAATAAGGCATATTTAGAAATTGTCTCAGAAATATAAAGAATACTAATCCCTTATTTCTGTCTCCTCCATTATGTGTTATAAAAACTGTGCAAATGTCCCCAGTAATAGGTCTCTGTCATATGGTGTAGAACAAAACCAGGAATTACACCTCTAAATAAGTGGATGATCACCAGAATAGCTTCCTTGTGTATACTGAACACTGAAATCCTAAAATAAAAAGCTCCTTTATATAAATCTGGCTGACTACTGTAGTAATACAGTGAATGACTTACAAACAGAGGCCACTGAAGACTTGGAGAATTGCAAATTTTCTGATAAAATGACTTACTCTGCAAAGTTAGCTGTGTACAGGGCATAGTGGAAAGTTACAGATAGTGTGATGTGGTGCTTTATGTTTGCTCGCATCCACCTTCAGCAGCTTTGCTGGACTTGGTCTCTAGGTAATCTGTCCAGTGCTGAACATTACTGTGGAAGAAGATGAACGGGTGCGAGCTCAGATGAGACACTGGAAGAGGTTGCCCAAACAAGTTACAGCTGCCCCATCCCTGGCAGTGTTCAGGGCCAGGTTGGATGGGGCTTTGAGCAGCCTGGTCTAGTGGAAGGTGTCCCTGCCCATGGCAGGGGTTTGGAATTAGATGATCTTAAGGTATCTTCCAACCCAAACCGTTCTATGATTCTGTGCTCATGAGCTGAACTTGTTTTCTTTCAAAGAGCAGGCAAAAAGCATCCCATCTTGTGGGAGAGGGCTTTAATGTATGAAACAGATGGTTCTCTTTGCCTGTGTGAGATCTTACACTGCTCTTTGTCAGCAGACCATAGTGAAGCAATCTCTTTTTCCTTTAATGCCTACCGGCTGTGTTAATGTTACTTAGGGGTATGTTTCTTCTGTGAAATAGGGCAGGAATAGCCAAAGTCAGATTTTTGATTGCTTAGGCATCTTCCAAGAGATTATCATGGAGATACACATTAACCTGTAATAATTTTTGTTTAGTTTAAGAGGTTAAGGCCAGAACTTCATAGGAAGTTCATCTTAGTCTTGTTAGGAGAGACAAATCCTTTTCAATATGCCTTAAAGAATATGCACTTGGAAGGTAATCTGGTAGGAATTAGAGAAGCTGAAGGGGAGCTTCAAGTCCGTGTATAGCAAGCTGTTGTTTGACTGTGTCTTCTGACGTGTTGTGCAAGAAGAATCTGCAAAATTTGGTCATGCTGTGAATATGAGGTGACAGACAGATCTGAGTCATGGATGGTTGTATTGTGCTGTGGCTGAGGAAGGAGAGGGTGGGAAGGGCTCAGCTGAGGTGCAGTGCTAGGACTGCAGGAAAAATAGAAGGCAAATTAGCCCTGTGCATCAGCTGTATTTTGGAACAGAGGCTGGTGCATCACCCATAGCAAGCTACCAGAGAGATGAGTTGAGTTAGAGATGTCTTCCTCATTCCAGTTGTAAAAACACCATCATCAGAGTACTCCAAACATGTATTCTGAATTAAGAAATAATCCTCAAGGGCTTTAAGTTTCCTGGTCTTCACACCCCACTCATCATTTGGCTTTTGGTTCAGTTTGCTATCTGAGGAGCTGCTAAAACAGCAGGTATACCAGTCTGGGGTTTCTTGTGTGGAGACATGAAACTTCTGCCCTCAGGCTCTTTAAGATCCCTTCCAACCCAAACCATTCTATGAATTGCTGAATTTAGGTAAAACTTCAGGAAGTGCAGAAACACCTGTTGTGCCGGTGAGCACTTTGTTAGCATCTCTGGTAGATTTTGCCACCTGCACTGCTTGTCTGCATGGATAAAACAAAATCAGAACTGTCATGGTTCCCTGACGTTTGGATGTTTTGGCATAGTAGCAGGAAATAGGGCAGAAAAAGGAATTACAGTTTAAATAACTTACCCAGCTGAAAAAGCTATATTTACATGTATTGCTTCTCCCTCCAACTTACGCCTCGTGTCCTTGTATGGTCAGGTAACGTTGCACACAAACTTCTGCAGGGAAGGGAGGTGAACCTTGAAATAGATGGAAAGTATTTTGAGTCATGTATTTGTTACATTGCCTCTGTAATACCTGTTCTCATCTCTTGCAGGAACCATGTTTAATGAAATGGCAAAATGGGTAAGACATGACAATGAGACTGGCATTTACTATGAGACCTGGACCGTTCAGGCAAGTCCTGACAAACAGTCAGTAGTGTGGTTTGACTCTTACGAATGCTCTAAATTCATACTGAGAACATACCAGAAGCTGGCTGACTTAGGAGCTGTCTTTAAAAAGATACAAACAAACTATACAAGCATAATTTTATTTAGTGGCGAGCCTGTTTATCTAGGAAATGAAACGTCTATTTTTGGACCATTAGGAAACAAGACATTGGCAACAGCTATAAGGGACTTCTACTACCCATTAAAACCTCATCGAACAGTCAGGGAGTTTTTTGTGGATCTCCTAAAAATTATTGATCATGTCATCTTGAATCATCAGTTTTACTTCTTCTACAACTTGGAATACTGGTTTTTACCTATGAAGTTCCCTTATCTCAAAATAATTTATGAAGAGGTCCCATTACCTACTGGAAGCAAAGCATCCTTTGATGTGTAATGGCTTACAGAAGAACCAAACTTGCCCTTTTGACAGAATAATCTTAAGGATGTGGGAGCACTGCCATGATGGAGTTCAAGTGTTTCACTGCCAACTGTAAAAGTTGTGTTGGGAAGGCTTTGCTAGACCACATGAAAGACTCTGCCTTTTTTAACTTGTTACCTGTATAGCTTGTCTCTGACATGGCTGGCTTCTGTGTGACCTGTTATCTAAGGGTGGGCCAGCGTGGCTGCTCTTGGCTAGGCTGCAGTGCCAAAGGGTGCATGGGAGGCAGCCTGCCTGCTTTAGTCTCCACATAGATGGCCATGTGGCCACCACCAGGGTTGGACATGAGCATTACAAGGACTTCCTGGTCTGACCACCTCAGCTAATCCATATGTTGGAGCTGACAAACCTGAGTGCCTGGATGTGCCCAGTCCCCTCAACATGTGCCTTACATTGACATTTCCGTATTTCTTTGGTTTGTACAACTGAGACCTATGAACTGTTCTCTGATTTGTGACATACATAGGTTTTCGTCAGGGTGGGAAGGGGCAGAATCTCCTAGAAGATGGCATGGGTGGTATCTTTTTCCCACTTTGTTTCCTTTACTTGCACTGTAAACATAATACAGATGGCTCTTCCCAAGATTTGTGTGTGTTTTCTGGCACAGATAGAAGGCAAACAGCCTGTTCTGATGTCGGCATTGGTGCATAACTGCAGCATTCTAGAAGTCTCCTGTCTTGAAATCTGCTTGAGGCTTCAATTAGGTCAGTTTCGTAGAAATTGTGTTTATATTACTTTTAAATGTCTTTAAAAAGCACTGAATCCTTACTGTGAAAGAAGCAGTGGCAGTTTGGGGGGTGTCAAAGTCACAGTTAGAAATTCATGCTGGTGATGGATTTGCCAGTGAGAAGTGAGTGCTGTGTGCTTAGTGCTCAGTGCTGTGTGCAGTGATGGTGCTGTGCCAGCTGCAGTGTCCCCGAGTCCTGTTCCAGGTGATCATGGGAGCAGCTTGGCAGTGGGTTTCCTTTAAACCCAGTCGACCAAAGCAAAGGGAACACCGGCTTTCTGGAGACCAGCAAGGTGCCTGTACCCTAAACATATCATTAGCATAATCGTCTCCAAATGTACACTGGTCACTTTATTTTTCTAACTAGCTGCAGAATGGTTAGTGCTGCTGCAAGAGGTTATTGCCACATCATGGTTAAGCAGTGACACAGGAACCCAGCTCTGCAGTTTCGCTTGGCTTGAGCCGAGTTAGAACCTGGTGCAGGCAAAGAGGGGAGTATGCAGTGATTTGATTCAGTTCATAAGAATGGCAGAAAATTAACCTTGTGTTAAAAAGTACTAAAATTAATTAGTTGAATTGCATTATCCTGTAATGGGATGAGCATGACAGTGGGAGATGAATGAGGTGAGCACCTCTGTGCTGCAGGGGAAAGCTGCTCATTAGTTTCACTTATGTGAGACTTCATCTTCTGTCTCACCTTGAAAGACTTCACCCTGCAACCAGCTCTTGCCTTAACCAGCTGAGGGACTCCTGTGAGGAATTTTTCAACTGATACTATGCCATCTAATACTATCAAAATGGCTATGAACAGTTAGAGCAAAGCATCATCACCTCCTGAAACAATTTAACTTGGAGGGTTCATACCACCTCTCAGAGTCAAAATCCCTTGAAGGGCTTGATGCTGCAGGCCATGGGGAAGGGGCTGTTCTAAAGCCTGTCTCTCTTCTGCTGCATCAAGGCTGTTGCAGAGTGCAGCAAACAGCTTTTGGGTGCCTGAGCCTCAAAGGGAAGAAAGACGCTGGCCATCAGGTAGGTCTGCAGGACCTTCAGCCTAGATATTCTGTTACTGTCAAAAGATTTCAGCATACAGGATTAGGAAATTGACCCTTTTCCTCCTTCCCCCACACCCTAAATACTCAAGCCTTTGTCTGGGGGAGGGTTCAGGGGTAACACTTAGATCTTGCTCCTTGGGGATAAGGCAGCAAAAGGGGTCTGATGCTACATCCACCAAAGTTCTTGCTTTACTCGTGTTTAGATCAGGCTTTGAGATCCAAGTTGCCTTGTTGCACATCACAGTTCTTTATCTTACAACCATGTAAGACTGTAGAGCAGATGAGGTACCAGGTATAACAAGAGTCTCTCTCATTCATGTACCAAACCACAACAGCTGATCTTCATGCAAGAGCTTCCTAAAAAAGGAAACTGTGTTTTCTGTCATGTTGCAAGACCAGAAGGAGCAGGTACTTTCTTGTGAAAGGTCTAACGCAGTTCTAGTTGCTCAGCATTTTGCCAGGAAATGCCAACTTAAAAAAGCCTGGGTGGAAATCAGTGGGAAAGCACACAGCAGTCTCCATTTCAAAGCACGTGAACAACAACGGCCGGCACTAGATGTGATCCTGCAAGAAAAACCTTATAAACAGTATGAACAGATGAACATACAGAACATCTGAGGCTAACTGTGGTCTCACCGTCCTAGTTTTGATGATACTAAACTTCGATCACACCTCCAAGGAACTTGTTTCTACAGCACCTGTATTTTAGGAGAATTAACTTACAGTTTGTAGTCTGAGCTACAGACACTGAAGTTGAGTCCCTTTAAGACTTCACTGATTTCCTCATAAAACAATGTTCCCGTTCTGCATACAACAGCAGCATCCACACTTGTGTTCACCATTGTGTGTGCAATCCACTAGAGCAGCCAGAGGTGAAGACAAATCTCTGAAGTAACATGACATATTCTAGGTTTATAGTAAGTCTTGTTTCAAATCTGAAGAGGCCTGGTTGAAACCTGCTTTAAATTCACAGGATATTAATTTGGCCCATGGCAAAATTTTACCGATGACTGGGATATACATAGCTAGTGTATACCTGTGCAGTTACATCAGTTTACGTGAGTTTTAGTGAGTTTCTGACTAAAAAAAAAAACATCCTAACCCCCCACCACTTAAATTCTCAAGTTTGTAGCTTTAGGTAAACTACAGGAAACTGTAAAGTTAATGTAAACAGCTGCTCTTACATTACTAACCTTTTCACTTTTATTATCTCATGGAGCGTGACTGGTCAGGATTACCCCAGCTGCTTTGAACAGTGATCGTGTATCAAAAACCTAAAGTGATGTAGCACTTATGTCAGAAGTGAGATTTGTGACTGCAGATATTAACAGCTCCTACACAGAACCAGACAACCAAGCCAATGCTGGATTGTCTTCTGGAAACAAGAAGAAATAAAAGTGAACCCAGGGAAAATTATTTTATACAGCTGTAAGACACCTATGTTCATGTTCCTAGTGAACATCATGACAGTCTGTGGTGCTCTGGTTACTATGTCATGGATTTTTACTTATTTTTTTATTATTATTAATTTGTTCCAACATAAGAATTGGCAGAATAAGAATTATGCAAGATTGGCTAAAAGGGAGCACTGTAGCTTTTCCCGAAGCCACTACATAGACTTGGCCTGGGAAGTTTGTTTCATAGCTGCATTATTTGAGCTAAGAATGCTGTAATAAAAAACTGCTGACCTTCAGTGGAAGGAAGAGATTCATCAGAGGTTTCTCTGTGGGAAGCAGAATGTTAGATTTCAAAGACATGGTTCCAAAGTGAGGGAACACTGGCATGTAGGTTGTGCATTGCCTCTAATTATTCCCACTACCACAGTAGTAAGCAATAGGTTTGCCTTGCTGACATTGGACACTGGCTATCAAGGTTCAGAGGTGTTTTGACTGCATTACGGGCAAGATTACTTCACACACTCATTTAGTGATCTAGTAGTTCCTAGTGGTAGTAGTCCACCGTATCAGGCAGGCAAACCCAGGAGTCAGAGTATAAAAAACACTGAGCTTTTTTACTGTTATGGACTAAATATATTGACACCTTTTATACAAATAAAAGCAAATTATAGTATTACATTGATTTAACAAATTCTAATACAAAAAAAAATGCGTATTTCAGAAAATGCGATTCTTAAATCAAATCTCTAAAGAAACACAGAACTCCCCTATAAAGATGTCCAGTCTGCTGAGCCATGCTTGCTCAAAACAGTTATGAACTTTAATACGTCCATAAGTGTATTACACTTGAACTGTACATTTGGATAAACCTTCCCAAGTCAGAAATGAAGAAAATTTACTTATTTTCAGGAGTAGCTGTACTGCTCATATGAGAAGAGGCTGACTGCTCAGCTGAGCCTAGCCCATAGCTGGAGCTCCTTGCTGACGGCTTCCAAACACATTCAGCAGCCATATGAAGACATCAGTGTTACCCATCAGTAACGGAGGAGAGCAAATAACATAACTGGTGGTGGTAAGAAATGAAGTCACAAGCCACATCCAGATCACAGGCAATACATTGCCTACAGCACTTACAGACAAAAAACTTCATTTAATAAAACTGATGTACCAAATATTCAAACCAAGGTTTAGCCTATTGCTCTACTCCACGCAAGTTTACTGCTGTTAGGTTTTTTACATATGAAGTGATCGAGCTAGCTGAATTCAAAGTATATAAAATGATCATCTATCAAACATTCACTTTATACATAAATGTTTCTGAAACAGATTTACAGTATACAATTAGTTTATACAGCTTAAGCAACTGTTACAATATCATTTTTCTCAAATTGAAAGCAGCCAAAAGGTCTACGGTTTTGTTAGAAGATTCTTGGTCACCACTTAAATTTTAGCCTTCACATCTCATGCTCTTCACATCTACGTCATCACATTTAACACTTCAGGGTTCACTTCATAAACTACACCTTATTCCATCTGACCCTAGCTGCAAAACTCCTTAACGGGCAAGAAAAGCTCATTAACTCCAATGTGAGTTAAATACAATGTATCTACATTTTGCCCCAGAATGCTTTCGCTTCCTGAGCTAGACATAAAATACCTTAAAACAGGTTTAGACATAGATCTGAGGCCCCATAAGCAGACTACATTAAAATGCGTAGAGGGTAAGAAAAAACACACCACTTCTGGTAGCTCATACTACTATTGCACTCCAAATGCATTTTTAGATGGAGTTCATAATCTGTTGAATAAGGTAACGATATTTTAGTAGTCTAAACTATGTTACTGTGTGTTGCTCCTGCCTTTTATGACTTTGATACAAAAGAATGTATTATTTCACAGCCTACTAAATATGCCTGCACGTGTATTTATCTAGGTGTATTTATCTATTTATCTAGGTCTTGCGATCTAGGTGCCTGGGCTTAGAACTTGTGTCTGCAGTCTGCACCAGAAGCATGCAATTTATGTGTGGCTTTATTTTGGTTTTAAGATCAGATCTGATCCTGCTCAATAACTGTACCTAAATGAAAGAATAGCCTATTGAAATTGACAGTTTGTAGGTATATTTCCATACTTTAATTGCATTTTTTATTTCCATAAAAGTTTGAGGTCACTGACAAAGAACAAATCCAGAACAGAAAAAGGATTTTCATTTGGATAAAAATGGGGTTTGGAGCTATCCATGATTTCTGTTTTGAATCTGGATCTCATAAATAATTCTGAATGAAAAATTAATTTTCTAATCAAATCATGAAGTAACTTACAGTAAAAGCTGTATTATTAAATAAGCTTATACAATAAATTGCAATATGGAAAGCTTGGGTTTAAGGTGCTATTCCATCTGCCCTGAAGTCTTTTAAGGACTTTACCATGTAGGCATCATGTCTGGGAACCAGACTCTACCAAGATGCTTTGAAACTTCCCAATGAATCTGCTCTAAGCTGTATTTCTGATCAGGAATCAAAACTTCCTCCATAATAGAAAGCTGTGAGAGACGACCACCGCACATCTTCACAAACTCAACAAAGGCACTGCAAGAGACTTCACATTCTCCGAGGCCAACGGCTGATAGATACTTGCAGCGTTCTGCAATACGGATCAGCTCCTCATCCAGTGGCCGTAATCCGTTGGCGCACACAACCAGTTCAACCAACCGAGGACACGTCATCCCAACGCGGCCAAGTACGTCTTTGCTTACTGATCTTCCAAAATAAAGGTGAGTGACAGGTATTTCGTAACGAAAGAACGGGTCAAACTCTTCTTCGTACAAGAAAAAGTACATGACTAAATTTACTTTAGGAGAATGCTTGATGAAAGCGTCCCAGCTGCTCTTCTGAATTGTGTGGAACTGAGTCTGTCCGGGGTTCTCACTGACAACATCAATGCGCAAGTGTTCCAACCTGACATGTTTTTCCGAAGACAAAGCAAGCAGAAGCTCATCGCTCAGCAGGTGGTAGTTCAGTGCCAGCTCACGTAAGCCATGACACTGGTCAGCCACACAAAGGATACCTGGGAAAAGAGAACACAGAATCACAGAATGGTCTGAGGTGGAAAGGACCTTAAGACCTGTGGGAGTGGATTCTCATGTGACAAACACAGAACTATCATACTCTGACTGTGCTGCCCTTTGGTAAGGCCGCATATACTCAATTTCATTTTTGTAAAAGAGGAAAAGAGGCTTATACAGAACTATTTCCTTAGCCTGCTCTGGAGGAACTGCTGTCCCCCTCTGGCTTATAAAGCAACCATGAATGAGATCTGTCACCTGAGGGAAGCAAATGCAAAATGTATGCTAGATATTTAATGAAATGTGGAAGTTGCTGCTGTCAGTATTGGTTCTTTCTAGCAAAGCACTAATACTTAAATTTGGAAAAGCAACAGCAAGAAGAAAATAGAAGAGGCAAAACACTAAAAATTAGAAGCAGTAATTCATAGAATAGCTATTTCCAGACTCTCCCTTTCATGAATCAATATAACCTGCTGCTCATGGCAAAGGCATTAACAAAAATAATTCAGTTCAGCCTTTAGGCTTCCCACTCAACCTATTTGCACACAAGCAATGGTACCATACTGGTAACTACTAAAATAAACCCAAAAGTATTAAAAAAAGCATGCAGTCCTCTGTATTCCATGTGACCCAGAAAACTCTGAAAACTGGGATATGGTCTTTCCATTAATAGGAGAGATGGGAACATCACGTTTAATACGGAGCTGAAAAGCTCGAGCTCAATACACTACAGCTTTGAAGCAATGAGAAGAAATACAGAAAGACAGCAGTTATTTTAAGATCCAGTTATTAAATTCAAAAGAGAAGCCTATACTGAGTCTAAAAACACTTTCTGAAATAAATTACTGTAAAAATATTGCGTAACTGTGTAATCCAAAGAAGTTTGTATTTTCCACCTGAGGATCTGCAAGAACACACGCATCAGAAGCTCTTTTAACTATATCAAATACTATCAACTGCAAAAAGTTACATAAACTGAAAAAAAAAGGGGGGGGGGGAAGCAGCAGAATTTAGGTAAACAGAATTTTAACCCAACTCAGACAGCAACTATTTTCTATAAAAACGATTTCTAAATGTAACAGTACTCATCAGTTAATTCAGGAGGGAAAGGATGGGATCCAAGATGAAGAGAAAATACGGATTTTTTTTAATTTTTTTACAAGATTGGAGTACAAGAAGAAAACTAAGCATAACTACAAACTTGTGCGTACCTCCTGCACATTCCAGAGATAATGTCCTGGCCTGAAATAGTAATGAAGTTATTCTTAGAGCAATACTCCTGGAAAGGCTATTCTGACCACTCCCCTTCTGTTGATTCAAGCATGCTGCTTCGTAATACCTAGGGCTGTTGGCACATGAAATATTTTCAGCAGAGTTTCAAGATCCACATACACTGTCACATCACTCACTAGCACAGTGCACAAAAGGGAAGAATGGGGGTTCAACTTGCTGTGATTTTTGATGGGTCATGGACTGTATATCCACATCGCATTCTGTCAATGAAGTTACAGAGCCAATGAAGTCACATAGAACTGACCATGCATACAGTGTAGACAGTTACTGGAGGGCCTGCCGGGAGCCCATGCTGTTGACAGAACATCCCTCAGTCAGCACTGCCTAAACCTATGTGTCACTAAGAGGTAAATCAGTCTTGATACCATATAGCACGGATCTGCATCAAAGAAATCCCTCTACTGGACTGCTAATGCAGACGCACCCAACAGCCACTCTTCTCCCCTACTCTCCCACTCAAAAAGAAGCAACTCCCTGCCCCAAAGCAGAGCAGAAAGGCTTCACACTGTTCCAACAGCTAATATTTCAGGTAATAAAAAAACAGTATATCAATGTGGATTTAAAGAATACCATTATTGTTTTAACAAGTTACTGTTGCAGTTCTAATGCTAGTTAAACTTACAGTGAACAGAAGAAACTTAAATATGCTCACAAAGATTAGAAATACACCACTGCCTTTGTTTCTCCAGCTCAAACCCAAATATGCCCCTTTGTACAGTAACTCGGGGACTATTCAGAGCATCCTTTGGAAGCAATTCACAGTTTGGTATCCATCTTTCTCCTTTATCCCTGTACTACTGGAGTCTCCCCCTTGCACTACCTTGCATTACTCTTCTCTGTCCTTCAGGAAGAAATTTCTTGAGAACTAATCCAGTAATGAACATATTCCACCTCACCCTGGTCTGCAATCTGAAGGCATATTATACCATCTGAAGTGCATCTGTAAGTAATTAGTTTTGCATAACTCATGGCCCTTTTGGTTCAATTCATGTTTTTCCCCAGTCTGCAAATTATAATATTCCCAATAGAAAAAAATCCAGGTAAGTCTCAGTGCTCGAATTTTCTAATTTTCCTTCAAGAGGAGTCCAAGTCCAAGGAACTGACTTGCTCTGCCTAGTTACAAATTACTGCTGGAGCCTCTTCCCCTGGACAAACATGTTATGGCTCCTGTACTTCTCAGGCACAAGGATTCTTGAACAAAAATTTAAGTCAGAAAAAGCAGACACTCAAGCTAATTTAAACAACCTATGATTACAAAGCTTTGAAGGACATAACATTCCAGTTTACATGCTGGTGAACACCTTGTTGGGCAAACCTGCTGGAAAACAAACCTGCATTTTCAGGAATTCTGTATACAAAACCAAATACAAGGTTTTGTCTGAGACCTTTGCCTGCAAAAGGTATGTGTTTGTGTTTTTTGTTATCACTATAGTAACGTGCCCTCTGCTACAGTATCATTTTCCCCACAAATTAGGAGGTGTATTTTACATATACCTAATATTTACAGTTGCAATACACTTGCATGAAGAAAGCTATGGTGACTACAGCAGTTTCTACTTATCCTCAAATGAGGAACTGAATTAAGTTGCCAGCATCTCATTTTCCATTTCTCAGTGAAAAATATGAACTGTCAAGTTAATGAGCTGTGAATCAATCTTAAATTTGTGCTGTATTGCACACATCTTCCACAAATGTTAGTTCTATGAACTCCAACAATCCTCAGCTATTTCATTCTGATACAAACTGGCTTCAGTCTTGCCACAAACACGCTTACAGTGTTAATGAAGTACATCTGGTAATGACAGAAGTTCTGCACATCTCAGTCTCATCTCCCTGTCGTTGATACTGTTTGCACTTATTCTCCAGTAAAAGATTAAACTGCTTTCTTTCAGAATGACTAAACCAGCATCTTCATAATCCACGACACTGCAGCACTCAAAACCCATACATAATGAACTGTGGAAAAGGAACTTATGTTCCAAAGCGTTTAATTATACTGCAATACTTAAATAGTCACTGAAGAAGCAGTGCACTATCAAGTCAATATATATGCCTTTAAGTTCCACAGGAGGTTAGTTATTTGTCCAGAACAGACAAGCACTGTTTTATTATTAGCTCAGTAGTCACTCTGCAAGTGGTAGGATGGAGAGATTGACAACCAGTTAAATTAGTATTTTATTCAGTGACATTTTCTGTAGATACCACATTCATCCTTGCTCTCACCCCACCACTATTTTTTCAGAGCTTTACCAGTTTCAGACAGAATTTAATGAATGCATTTCATGTTTAAAACCAAACCAAACAAAAAAAAACCAAGCCACAGTAGCTTACCAGCTGGAGAAACATGAGGACAACTGCTCATTTTTAGCAGTTTCAGTGTGTCGCTGTTGTTAGCCACTAGTACTTTGAGAGATGGATCATCTACTGGTGTATCATCAATCTTAAGTGAAGAGAGGGATTTGGAGTTTACGAACACCACTGTCAGTGCAGAAATAAAGTGAGACTGGAAAAAAAAAAGAGTGTAAATGAAACACCAGTACTTGAAATAAACATCTCAATGGTTCTACACTGTGCACAGCAGTCCTAGTTTTATTTTACTTATTGACAACATTTGCTGGAAAAGCATTCCTTTGATATTGCGTAATTAAAAATTAATATTAAAATTTACATATATTTGAGTAGAGAAAATACAGTAACTTTCTGCTATCAGTCTATGTAATTGGCAAATCAGAATGTCTGAAATTAGACATCAATCAAGAACCTGGCCCAGGACAATCCACTACACAAACCTAAATCTATAGGAAGACCACAAGCAAAGAGAAAGCCTACAAGCCCTAATTTTGAGGGTTATTTGCATGTCACACTCTAAAAGAAACATCTTTGAATACAAATTTCCATGTAGCAAATTAAACTGTACCAGTGACATGCAAACACAGTCAAAATTGGCAACTCTATAATGTTAAGATATGTCCAAAGTCAAATAATACTACTGCTTGCCTAACATCCACGCAGAGAATTTAGGGTCTGAATGGATTTGTCTTGGAAAGCAGAGTGGTGCAATCTAAACAGAGCCAAGAAGCAGGTGATCAATTAACTATTCTATGACTCTTAATTAGCACAGGTAACGGAGGTCCAGTGGTCCAGGTTGGTCCTCAGCATTTCTATGTAACCACTGAAATGTACCAATAAAGGCAGAGCTTAGAGCATCTGAACTTGAGAAAGACTATGGAGCAGATGCAGCAGTGCTTATAGAAATCACTGATGGTATGAAGGAAGTGAATAATAGGCTTATCTTCATTTCTTACAGGATTTACGGAATAGAAGACTTAAAAAAAGTACTTCCTCCCTGCATTACATTAAGTATCCCACAGAATTACCTGCTACTTTGACTTCAATACAGTTTTACTTTAAGCCACATGCACTTACAGAATCCTGAACAAAGTTACGTGAAAGAAGGCCTGGCAACAGTATTAGCCCATTCTTATGTGATACGTATATGGTTTTGGTTAAAACTCACACACACTTAGAGCAGGAATTAGTATTTTCACATTAACATAAACTGTCAAAATCAGTCAATGCAAATAGAAACAGAAAGTTCAAGTCAGAAGTATTAGGCATTTTGGCTTTAGGGACCACTCCCAACTGTACTGACAAGCAGAACAGGATCGTAACATATCCCTCCAGTGAAAACTAAGTAAAACAGCTAAACCAGCATTCAGATTAAGAAATAAAACAAGAATCAAGAGCTGAAAGGACAAAGTATTTACAACAGACTATGGATTGTTTTCACCATGTTCAGGTTTTCTTACAGTCACTTCTCAAAGCAGTTCAAAAAAAGGGAAAAAAGCATACAAAAAATAGTAAAAGATCTGGAAATCCCCTTTGAAAATTAAGGATTAAAAATACATGTTCAAGAGAACTACATGATGTGGCTGTGATCACTGCCAAGGATAGTAATTGATAATCCTTCTGTAACTAACCTTGCTTAAGCCCTATAACCTACTTCCTTTCCTGAGGCTGTCCCTAGTTCTTCCTTATCCTTGTTGCCGTCATTAGCAATGATGTCATTGAGATCCAGCTAACAGTCTAGGTCTGTTTGGCCCTTCATATACATGCGAGACTGGACTCAAGAACTGAGGCTGTAAGACATCCAAGATGTCACTGCCATAGAACAAGCAGTCCAGTTTACCCCAGCCACTCTCCGGCTCCTCAGCAACAGCACCCTTCTACCTCACCAGCAGAAATTCTTGTTTAGAAACACATATAAGAGATTCGTTGTCACCTACAGCAGATGCATTTTAACAAAATCTAATTTTTGGTAAACATTCAAGGTAAAAAACTGACAGAAAATTTCAGAAATACAGTGCACTTTGCTAAGAATCTGACATTTGTGTGACATGAAGTACTGAAAATCATGATCATACTGCTTTCTGAACAAGGCTCACTGAACATATTATCTCTACAGCAAGCCTACATGGATAAAACTCTACCACTTGTTTGACTGAAGTAGTCTCCTAAACATCCCCACAGTCCCACAGTACAATTATACAGATGCAAATAAGTCTACCCTCCTGACTTGCATCATGTTGCTCAGTATTGCATTGAGGTCAATAGACAAAAGGACTTAGAAAAACAAGGTCAGAACCAAGTTCTCACATGATGCAGAGAACGAATGAAACTTAATTATCCATCTTAGTACAACATCTCAGTTCCTCCCTTTAATAGAGCTCAGTAATAAAGCTTTCTTTAACCAAAGATTCATATTCTTACAATAAAGCTTTTCATAAAGTTGTAGGAATACTGCATGAAACACTGAAATACTGTGCTATAGAGAAAATATACATATGAAAATACCTTTGGTAAATCCATGAAGCTTGGCCGCGCAGTTGAAATTAACCCAAGTGTTTTCAGAGAGCAATTCACAAGCTGTGATAAAATATCGCAAGCTGCTTCTGCAGATTCTTTGCTACTGTCCACCTTAAAACAAAAAGATTTATTATTCAGAAAACACTGTATCAAACACCCCCTTTTTACAAAAAGCAAAGTAGAGCAGATAACACTTTAATGGGTTTTTTCCACTTTACCTTCTGAATTGTGATGTCAAAAAAGCCCACAAACCACCTCACTGAGAATCCATCAGTGCCATTCTTTTTCCCCCAAAAAAGCACATACCAAAAATCCAAGATAATTTGCTATAAATTTATACCTTAACACTTCGGTAAAACTTATCACGGTGAGGGGTCAGCTTAACAGTTATTTCAAGATACTCAATCCACATCAAACAATAAACAAGTAGAGGTTGACTTGGGTCTAGAGCCTCCCTTACTTCCTCTTCACATTCTTCCTTATCCAAAATGCAAGAATTCTTTAAGTTGCTTTTTTTATGGTGACTCAGATCATAACATACAGCTGCTGAAAAGTGCACTATCACATGAACCTCTATCATAGAATGGTTAGGGCTGGAAGGCACCTTAAACACTATCTAGTCCCAATCCTTCTGCATGGGTACCTTCCACTAGACCTTCAACGTTAATACCACAATAGATATCAGTGGATACCCTGAAAAAAAAAATCTTCATTAGTAAGCTTGTTACAAAACTGA